TTTAGCAGATAAGGAAGGAATATTTGAGACTTGTGTCCTAAGACTGATCTTCTGATACACATCTCATTCTCAACGGCCACGGCCACTAAGTATCCTTCCCTTGTTAGCTTTTCATCAGTATGTATAAAATTGAGATATTCCGTGTGGAATTAAGAAAATCCTACACTCATGCTATAATCAAGCAATGATGAAGACATTTTAGGTGAAAGAGCAAGAAAATAAGAAGTGATGACTTATCCTAAGCAACTTTTATGAAAAGGCTCTTCTTCGATGCTGTTAGCTAATCCAGGATAACTCTCGATATGTCAGCGATAAACACTTGACCGCTATGAGCTGCTGGAAGTGGCTTAGGTCTATTTCGCCGAAGAGATCTTCAAAATAACAAAGCTAAACTCCACCTTTAAAACTTTTTGTTAGGGAACTGCATCTCTCAAAATGTAGTAGTTAACTAGTTCTGTTAATGGTCCTAGATAGCGAATTTATCGCATCTTAGTGAGGACGCTTCAAGCAAAAGGCTTCATGGAATCATCAAGAATTGCAAAAGTTGTCACAAATGGCCATAATGGTCTTTTTATGAGTGAACATCTAATTGGCAATTCAGTGTCGTAAAGTCGAAGAAAAATGGTTGGAAAATAAAGGGAAGATAACAGAGGGTTAAAAATAGAGCGACGACATGGGGGTAAAATATCGTTTTATAAAGGAGCCGTCGGGAACTTTATGGGCGGTTGTATTCAGGAAATGTGATTTGCGAGGCTCCGCAAGGTGAGCACTGACAAAAGCGCCAGATCTGCATTGTTGATTGGTAATTTTCGGAGATGCATAGGCGAGTTGAGTAGCTTCTCTTCAAATATCAACGTCTAAAATATGACTACACTGCTTTTTGTAAGATTTTATGTGCATTAGCTCCAACTAATCACTTTCGTGTATCTTGCTCTCGTTAGAAAAATGGGATTGTGCCTTGGCAAAGGATCACTACCGTCACTGGGCTCCGTCCTGCGGCCAGCTGATTGTTTTAGAACGCCATATCCTCCTAATTAAAGGATTTTAATGTATTTCCTGCTTTCCGCTTTGGATGATGCTAAAACATCACAACCAAAACTCTTTGTTCTTTTCAAGATGTCCATGGAAAGCTTCTAGCAGCTGTGGGAGAAAAAAGGCACAGGATCAAATCAGTGATAAGCCAAGCTACGCGACTCAAGCAATTCAAAGAAATATATTCTAGTTGGACAAACCATATTGAGTGTTTTGAGTAGTTCACACATTTATTCTACATGTTGTTAGCTGGAGAGACGTCATAATTTAGTTATTTTTGTCAAACAACATTCCTCGTAATTACTCGTTCGGTAGAATAAACGCAACTTCGTTGATTCTAGGCGAACTTGTGTAAAGGAAATGGCATCGCAAAATGCTTATAATAGTGACATCCTGTACTTTATAAGCCCAATATATTTGGGAAATATGTGCAGTGACGTGGATAACGCATGCACCAGTTATTAGCATTCGTTTCTATCGTTATTGGATGCAGTCTATAAAAAGAGACTAAGATAACCAAATAGCACTATGCTTATTGCCATCAACAAATATCAAGATTTACGCGGTTATAGACATCCTGGCATGATAGAAAGATAATTTTCAAATTGTGACTCAGTCTATACGCATACGTATCTATACGTTCACGCAGTCTACACATGAGATATAATAAAATGAAAACCATTTTATGTTACATATATGTGGTAATCGAATGTGAAGGAAGATGGCAATGAGTTATTTTGTGCGGTTCACAGCGTCTAACTTGCAGTTTACGTAATCAATCTGCTTTGTTCTCAAGCTGCGCTGACTTCTATGAAAATTGATGACACTTCCTTATTAAAAAAATCCCATTTGAATTCTTCACCATTCTCACTCAAACATCTCAATTTTTCATCACAAAGTTCAGCGACTCTCAGGGGCGATTTTCATTTAATCCTTTACGCGCTTGGAGTAAGGTTTGAAGACTAGTTCAAACAAATCTTAAAATAATTCAAAAGTAAAAAATCTTAAAATAATTCAAAAGTAAACATAGCTCGAGATTGGCTTTGGTAACTCACAATGCCCAGGCAGGCTACTCTACTGATTATCACTATGTCTTCAATAATTGAATCCATTACTACTGCTGAACAGTGGCATACACTGTATCAATCTTGTCACTACAACGTTCTGCATATGTTGTTGACCTAAGACCACGATTAGATTTTAAAAAAGTTACTGTTACTAGCTCTTACCATACAAAATAAGGATGTGATTGATGCATGGGATCTAATTACTACAGAAATGTTTATGAATATACCACAATTCTGATGGCTGTAGAGAAACTACAACCTTAAGGGGAGCTAACTCGGTGACAAACAAGAAAAGTTTATTCAAAGATCTCATAGGTTGAAATAATTAAACCTACAACTAAATAACATCTTGCAGAGACTTATTCAAAATAACATTTTGTATGTTGAGATAAATTTGAGATCACTGATTGAGTATAGAGTTCCAGTGCTTAGAGTTATAGAGATCAATGCGCGATGCTGATGTTGGATGATGGGTGGAGATGGGTGTAGCTGTTGTTGTTCTGATACGAATCAGCCGAACCGAACGAAAGTCTGTGCCCTCTTGCCAAATCTCACAAATGTCTGTGCTCGCTTTCCGAATCTTACGAACGTCTGCGCCCTCTTCGAAATCGGGCTTTCATCTGAAATTTGCAGAAATCGAGACTTTCATTTTGGGATTTGAGAAAGGTTTTAAAGCTATTTTGTCGTTTGCTGCAATGCGCCCGAAAGGCAACCTGATAAGA